GGCAGTTACTGTGGGAGTGGGGTTAGAGAGCTGATACTCTCAGGGCAGACCCTGATTGCAAATGAAGGTACCCAACTCAAACTAGCTTAGGCCAAAGGAATGAATTATTGGAAAAATAATTAAAAAGGGAATTAATTACCTGGGAAGTCCAGAGGTAAGACTGAATTCAAGCACAGCTGAACCCAGTGGCCCAAACAATGTCCTAGGTCTTTCTCCCCTGCCTTCTTCCCTCATCACCATCCTCACATCTATAGTTTCTAGTTTATCTCTGCTCTTCTTTTCATACTGTCCTCATTACCTCCTGCTGCGGATATACTTTATATGTCAGCCTGATGCCCACATTCTTAGAGCTGGTGGTCTAAAAAGGAATGGCTTTCCCAGCAACAGTCTTAAGGAAGACCCTGATTTGGTCAGTGTGGGTCACTTGCCCATCCCCAAACCAATAACCATCCAGGAAGATGTATTACTGTGACTGGGACTGGCGCTCCCCCCACCCACCCACCCAAGACCACAGGTATTGGGGGCACAGGGAGGAGAGGAGAGTTTTTCAAATGAAACAAGGAAGGGGAAATCATCCTGGATGTAACAGACCTTAACCATGCCTTCTAGTGCATCTGTCCTCCCTCCCCACAAAGCCTCCACATCCACCTCTTGACCTAGCCTGGTTCAGCCTTTGAGAATCACGTCGGGACCCCAGAGTGAGGCATGTATGGAGAGGGGGTATCAGGCGGCAGTGGGAAGGAACGGGCTTCTGACTTTTCCTTCCTGCCTCCTGCTAGCCCTCTTAGATCAAAGGTCCGGGCTTCAGGGAAGTGTCATGGAGAATCTGGACTCAGAACCTCTCTACTCAAGGGGATTTGGATAACTTACCAAGGGGGAGAGTGGAATTGGCATCGTGGCATCACATGGAGGAGAAAGGAATCTCCCTAAGGGTGGGGTTTATATTCACAGCTCTGCCTTCCCCAGAGCTGGGTTCAATACGCTAAACAAACAAACAAACAAACAAACAAATAAATCCTGCACTTCTCTCAGAGACCACAAGAGGGTGCACAGAGCCCAGCGTCCCTATTAACTGGGCCTAACAGACAGGACCTGCAAGACATCTGGGGAGCTCAGAGAGCCGTGGGCAGGAGAGGGTAGGATGAAAGGAAACGAGACCCATGGACAGCTTGGGTCAAGCTGCTAGGGTTCCAGACTGTCTGGGACCTCTGGGGCTTACCCGGACCTAGGGCTGGGACGCTTGCCTCCCGGTCTCTATTGCCAGGTCCTGTTGAGTGGGGTAGAGTTGGTGATGCTGGACTCCTCCATGATGCCACAGAAGGAAACTGAGGCAGTGGCATGAACTGACACCACCCCAGTCAGGTTAAAAGGAATTCAGAGGAAGTAGCATGATACAGTGAAAAAAAGGCTTACGTTGCTAGCTGGACCTTGATCACGTCAGTTAATCTCTCCGAGCCTCAGTTTCCCATCAAAAATGGCGGTGCCTGATAGCTTTTTATTTTTTTATTTTTTAAAGATTTTATTTATTTATTTGACAGAGAGAGACATAGTGAGGGCAGGAACACAAGCAGGAGGAGTGGGAGAGGGAGAAGCAGGCTTCCCGCGGAGCAGAGAGCCCAATGTGGGACTCGATCCCAGGACCCTGGGATCATGACCTGAGCCAAAGGCAGATGCTTAATGACTGAACCACCCAGGCGCCCCTGATAGCTTTTTAGTACATCGGAAGAGGGAGTTGCGATCTTCAAACTGCTAGTTGTATGCTAGTGGTCCATCTTCTGTGACCAAGCTCAGCGGAAGTCTGGGAAATGCCCTCTGTGAAGGGTCAGAGCCTTGTCCTGAGAGGCACCATTTTGACCATTATCTTGGTCATCTCTAAGCTCAGAGATAGCTCTATGCTCTTGCACCATTGCCTTGGGAGAAGGCTAGGCCCAGAGCTCAGAAATGCCCCCTTACCACCACCCCCTTGCTCACCCAGCTGCTCAGCCCAGGGCACAGTCTGAGCCATGAAGGTTCTCTGCTGACTGAGTGGTGGGGGACATGTGGTACCGGGGAGTTGGGGGAAGAGCACAGAGGCGCCCCAGATGTGTGCATGACCACATCAGGAACAGCCAGAATGCAGGCAGATGGTGGGGAAGCTACTGGAAAGCCCATGATCAGCCTAAGGCCAAGGGCTCATTTCCCCTTCCTTCCAATGACCAACAAGGAGTTTGGGTGACTAAAGCAGCAAGTTAATCCCCTTACCTTACGGAGGGGCTCTGGTCCCTGAGGCCTGAGGATAAGACAAAGAGCTCCCTTTTTGGTCTGGGGCTCCTTCCCTTTCCTCTTCACCGAGATAGACTTCTCTTGCAGAACCTCGGGACTGAGCCTGGCCTGGTCTGGGTTGGGGCCGTGAGGGTCCCACCTGTTCTCACCCTGGTGCCTCCCCTCGCCCTCCCTTCCCTGCAGCCTCCTCCAGAGTTGCCACAGCTGGAACCATTCTCTGCGCTGCCTTTCATCCTTGGTGCTCCCCCCACCCCCAGTGGCCCCTATAATTGTGGTCTCAGCTGGTGGCTGCGGGGGCTGGGGCTGGGCTGAGGGCCAGGGCCCAGGGCAGGGCCAGGGTGGGGTCTGGGGGCTGCTGATAGGGGCTTGCCCATGGCAGGGGTCATTTGGGACTGGGGTGCCAGTTGCAGACACTCTTTCTAGGCCTCCTCTCCCCACATGCCAAGGTCCTGTGCCTACATATGCCCTCTCCTCCCTGCACTGAGAAGTGCCCCAGTCTTGGGCACTTTTAGACCCTCATGACATCAGGCCAGAACTATGTCCCAGTGCAAACAAGACTTGAAAATCATTATTTGTCTCCTGGGGTTTTCAAAGAAAGGGCCTTCTCCTTCTCTTTTACACCTCTATATTTCATGAGCAGTAGAGTGGGGGGGGGTGGGGATGAAGAAACCTTCCCTTGGCGGGTCAAAGGAAAAAAAATTGACCTCTCAAGCAGCTCAGCAGATGTGGTCCTCATGAAAATCACTTGAGATACCAACTAGAAATGCAGACCCCTAGGCCTTGCCCCTGGACGGGCTGATTCAGCTGCATGGGACCCAGAATTGGTATTCCCCACAATGGCCTACCCCAGGGGATACATATGATGCCTCAAGCATGGAAAGGCTAGTGTGAGCTCTACCCAGGGAGTAAGGAAGTCATGAACGAATTCCCTGTCCCACCTTGGGCCTCTTCCTAATCCCTTCTGTGCCTCAGTTTCCCCAACAGCCAATGGGCACCTGACTCCCCAGCCTGGCTTGTCCCTGTGGTGGTGCCCTCTCTCAGCCCAGGCTCATTGCCTCCTTCCCGTGCTGAGTCTGGTCCTGCCCTATCCTTCACCATACTCTTCCCGAACTCTAGTCCCAAGCTGTCCTTGCCCTTGCAGCATGGCGAAGGAGAGTGGGGAGGGCAGGGGGCGGCCAGGGTCAAACAAGGCTCTGGCTGACGCAGACTGCTTCCTGCTCCCGGCTGTTTTCCTGCTGTCCAGCCAGACTGCTCCCCCCATTGCCCCACCCCCACCCCCAGCAGCCTCAAGCCCTTAATTCCTGACAGCTGCAGTGGCTGCCGGCAGAGATGGGGGAAAGGAGGGGGGGAGGATGCCGTCAGCCTGCTGTTGCTCAGGCTGCCCCCACCACCTGACAGTCTGGGGACAGGGAAGGCCCCACCCCTCTCCAATTCCCCAGGGATGGGCAATTCCAGGAATGGGCCCCTTTTGTCTCAGAGCCCAGAGTTTGTCCTTAAACCAGGAGAGGACACTGAGGTTGGGAAGGAGGTGTGTGTATAGAGTGGAAGACTTGCGCCCATTTTACAGAGGAGGATGCTAAGGCCACAGTGGGGGCAGGATTCACTATCAGGGCCCAGGTTGGAACCAGAAACAGAGCCTCTCTCCTCAACCCTCTGGTTTCTCAGACCCTTGCCCGGGTCTAGTATACTAACCCCATACTGAGATGAGCTCAGTGTTCAGCTGGGGCGGGAGGACAAGAGGAAAATCCCAGAGAGGAGTGGTCCTGAGCTAGGAGCCTGGTTTGGGGTGGCTCCCAGAGGACCAAGTACAGGTAGCAGGACCAGGGCAAGATCTGGAGCATCTGCAGGAAGGCCCAGGCAAGTAACACTCAGTGTGGGGGCCACTGCTACTATGCTCAGGGTCAAGAGAACTGGGCTCAGTTCTAGCTCTTGGACTAATTTGCTGTGTGACCTTGAGTAAGTCATGGCCCTCTCTGAGCCTCATTATTTTCTTGTGAAATAAAAAGGGACAAAATAAGATGACCCCCAAAGCATACTTTTGGAATTAAAGGACTCACTAATCCCTCTCCCGGGGTGTGTCACCCCAAGGAGCTCTGCTCCCAAACAAGCATTTACTGGAGTCCCAGCGTTTTTACCTTCATTGGCTCACTGACTAGATGAGGTGGGCCTCAGTAACCTCATTTCACAAAGGGGCAGAGGGTGGTTCAGTGTGCACGAAGCACCTGTTTAGGGTCACACAGGGAAGAAGAGCAAAATCCAGAGGCTGCCAAACCCCTTTACAGGACCCCCCACACCTGCCGCACCAGCAAAGCCTGGGAAGTCCCTCCTGAGGTGGGAGAGGCAAGCAGGGGGGGACAGCCCCTCCCCTCCAGCCCCTGCAGGTGTGTGTATTGGGGAGGACTGCTCCCCGGCAGCTGTGTCCCGGCCAGACACACACACTTCCCAGTAACACACAGCTTCTTACATAAACCAGGGCGCCCTGGCACTGGCACCTCCACGTGCACGCGCGTACAGACCCCCAACACCTCTCCTTCCCCCACCCTCCCACCGCCGCTCCCACCCGGAGTCCTGAGCGGACGCAGTGGCCTCAGGACCCATACACGCCTCCACCCCTCCGTCGTGACGTCACCTGGGGTAGAGCCCTGAGACACTCGGGCGGGGGCTGGGGGGAGGAAAGGGGAGGCGGCAGAGCTCCCCGAGCCGGGACAGTCACTCACTCTCTGGGCGGTGGGGCCGGGCACAGACAGCGCCGCCCCCCCACAACCCCCCCCTCCCGCCTCGCACGCCCTCGGAAGTGCAGGCTCGCGGCGCTGCTCTGGGGGGCTCCCCGGCACCCCAGCCTCTCGCCCCCAGCCCGCAGCACCTCCGGGCCCCCCCCCACCCTCGAGAGGTACCAGGAGTTGTCGCAGGGGGGCCTCGGGAAATTCCCTGGACCCCTGTGCCAGGAGGTGCCCGGTGCGCCCGCCCGCCCCCCCACCCCGAGGGCGGTGCCCGGGGGCGCTGCCCCATGGAGCGGGGAGGCGGGCGCCGTCTGCTCCCGGAGCCGTGACCCGAGTCGGAGCTGTGTGTCGCAGCCGCCCCGACCCCCGCGGATCATGCGCCGTCGCCCCTGGCCCGCCGGTCCCGCCGGGCTGTGAGCCCCCCACTCCTGGCCCGTGACGGCCCGCGCGCCATGGGCAGCACCCACCCTTGCCCCTGGCTGCGGCTCCGACCTCGGCCCCAGCCGCGGCCCGCGCTCTGCGCGCTCCTGTTCTTCCTACTGCTGCTGGCTGCCGCCGTGCCCAGGTGAGCCCTCACCGTATGCCCCGCCCTCCTGGAGAGCTGGGACCCCCAGCCACGGGGGGCCTCTGGTGCTCCCGTTGGGGCAGGGGACCCTGGAAGGAGGGAGGGACAGTGTCGTAGGAAAGTGCTGGTACCCAATGAAAGACACTGCCCTCACAGGAGGGGGCTGAACTGGTGACAGAATCTGGGCAGTCCAGGGAGACAAGATAGTGCCCAGGAAAGTGAAGGCCTACTAGAAGAGGAGGTGTGTGTATGTGTGTGTGTGGGAGAAACAAGTGCCAACCTGGAGTCCATGCCAGGCTGGGGGCATGCACCCCCACCCCAGGAGAAAGTTCAAACTGCCTTGCTCCATCTTGGAGATCACTCCCAGGCAGGGGCATGGGTGGGGGGCTGGAAGGGAGTAGTTCAGGTGGGGTCACTGAGACACTGAAGCTGGAAGGGTTCCCAGTGTGTGTGTGTGTGTGTGTGTGTGTGTGTAATTTTGTGAACCCTGGTAGTTATGTTGTAAACAGCAGTCTGTGTGTGCACATGTGTGTGACTGAGAGCTTACGGATTGATATGTGTTAAGATGCACACATGTACATGTTTGTGAGTGTCTGTGTGTATACCTCTGTCTGAAGTGTGCATGTGTGTAAGTGTTCCTGGGTCTGTGTGGCCCCCTCGATGTGTGCAGAAGTATGTCTGTGTGAATGGGACTGTCTGAAACATGCGTTGGGAGTGGTCTCCTGGGGAACACTACTTATGTGAGCATCTCTGCCTCAGGATGTACTTATGAAATACTGTGTGCCCAGGTATTTTGGATGTGTGTGCATTTACACGTTAACTTGTGTGGGTGTGCAGCTGGGCAGGTGGTGTTGGAGGAAATGATGATGAGAGGACCCAGAACAGGAGAATGCTTTAGGACCCTACCTATAGGCCTAACATTTAGAAGAAGAGGTTGGAACAGAGGGACTATGGCCTTTGGGATGGAGTGTAAATTGCTAAGTGGGGCCCTCCTAGCTCCCCAAAACACTCACCCACACCCACACCCCACCACCTGCAGGTCTGCACCCAACGACATTCTGGGCCTCCGCCTCCCCCCGGAGCCCGTGCTCAATGCCAACACAGTGTGCCTGACATTGCCGGGCCTGAGCAGGAGGCAGATGGAAGTGTGTGTGCGCCACCCTGACGTGGCTGCCTCCGCCATCCAGGGCATCCAGATCGCCATCCATGAGTGCCAGCACCAGTTCCGGGACCAGCGCTGGAACTGCTCCAGTCTGGAGACTCGCAACAAGATCCCCTACGAGAGTCCCATCTTCAGCAGAGGTAGCTGCCCCCCTCACCCTTGCCCTTCTGCGCACGCATCCAACACCTCCACCCCAAAAGCCAACCATCCCCAACCCACTCCCTCAAGCTGGCAACCCCCCCCACACACACACAGGTGCCCATCTACCAGGCATACTGCTCCTTTCTGGTCTTGGGCAGTCCACGAGGGCCAAACGGGGCAGAGGTGTCTCCAGCCTGCGCTGCGTGTGCTGAGGGTAGTAGGTTCCATGCCTGATAATTGACTCCTGGGTTATCCTGCCCGGTCATTGACACTATATATCTCAGGCCCAGGAAACATCCACATCTGTCACCTTCCTCAATTTACCCTCTACCTAGTAAACAGCATTTAGGATGGAGAGCCTAGGATAAGGTGCCCAGAGCCAGCGTTAAGGACTTTTGCCAAACGGCGTTGGTGAGGGAAGCCCGGGCAGGTAAAATGTCTGTACTTCTGTAGAAGCTCTTCCCGGCAGGGTACACCACCAGCCTCTGTGTCATTCCCGCCGCCCCCGAGAACCTTCTCTGAATCAGAGGCACTGGGTGTGTGCATGCCTCCTGCCCAGCAGGCCTGACAGCTCTGCCAATCCCTCTTCCCTTCACAGCCCGGAGAAGCCACAGCCCACTCCCTGTCCTCCCTCTGGGTCTTCTGGGTGACCCAGGGCCCACCCTGACGACCCCTAGAGTAGCTTGGGCTGGAGATGGCAGGAGCTTTTGTCACTCCTTTCTGTTCACAACCACTTCGGGCCCTGAGATCTTAGGCCTTGACTCAGGTCTTTTGGGGAAGATGGGGGTTATCTATCTTTCCTCTCAGCTGCTTGAGTGGGACAGTGTGGGGACCTGGCTGCTTGGGACTTGTCCAATTCTCAGTTGACAGTGGAGGAAGAGGGGTACCCCTATACCCTGTGGCCTTGCGGCCTAGAGGCTTCTGGAAGAGTCAGATTCTAAGGTACCCTAATTTCAGAAAGAATTCGGCCAGCCGGGGACTCTCCCTTTTCACCAGGACCCCTCCTTGCATCCCCAGGGGCCCCCAAGTCAGGGGCCATCGCAGCCTCCCGCAGCCCAGCCCCACGCCGCCCGCCCCGCCCCCGCGCTCCCTCCCCCCTCCCTCCCCCGCGCGCCCGGGGCGCTGTTTCTACCCGGCCGAGCCCAGCCCGACGCGTGTGGCGGCATGCAGCCGCGAACTAATCCCCGCGGGCCGCGGCAGACGGCTCCTGGCCCGAGCCGCGCGGCTCTCCAAGGGGCGCCCCCCGCCACCCCGCCCCTGACCCGCGCTCCCGCCCCGCCCGCCCCGCCGCGCCTGAGCCCCGCCGGCCGGCAGACGGCGGCTGCGGGGGACCCCGGCCGGGCTACCCGCCCCGCCCCGGCCGCCCGCGCTCGCCCACGCCACGGGACAGGCCTGTGCCTCTCTCCAGGCCTGTGCCTCTCCCCGCGCGCCCGCTCCCACTCCGGGTTTCTAGGTGACCCGTGCGCTCCCCGACGCCCCGGGTTCCCTCCAGCGCTGGCGGGGGGGGCGCGGTGAGGGCGCCGGAGCCCTTGCTTTGGGTTCTGCTCGCGGGGCGGGAGACGGGGTTGACAGGCGCTGAGGCTCTCACCCCTGCCGCTTCGGGTGAGGCAAGGCAAGGCAAGCTCTTCATCCCTCTTCCCGGCCACGGTGTCCCCTCTTCCCCTCTGGGCCTCCTGTCCTCTCTAGAAAGAGTGAACCCACGCGTCCTGATTACTTCGCCCGCGTGAGGCCCGTGTGGTCCGGTGGAGGACGTGGGGTCTTTGAAGCTCAGGGGTGAGTTCGGAGAGGTGGAAGCGCGCGGGGTTGGCGCAGCGCCAGGCGCTCCCGGGTTCACCTGTAGTTTAATAAGCGGGAGGTGAGCTGGGGGGACCCGGTGTTGGGGGGGAGGTTAGGAGTGGAGGGGGGAGACTTGCCGGGGCTAGCCAGGGCGGGGCGGTGCCCAGCGCGGGGGTAGGGGCGGGACAGCCGCTCCTGGGCTCTGGCAGGGGGGCTGGGCTCCTTCCTTTGGCCTTGGAACACTGTCCTACCTAGGTGGCTTCTGCTCCCGCATTGCGACACCCCATCTTCTACCTCTCCCTCCTCGGAGGGGCCTCTGGGCCTCTGGAAGAAATTGCCACTTTCTCCCTCCACGGGCCACCATTACAACCCTTCCCTCACTCCGTATCTGGGTTCACCCTTCACCCACCTGTGGGGTTATCTGCCTTGGCCCATCACCTCAAGGACTAGCTAAATTTGAATTCTACAGGGCCACTCTTGGTGGCAGCCAGTCCCTGGACTAGGTCCGTCCCCCCAGTCTCCCTTCTTTTCAAGTTGTGAATTGTCCCATGTGGGGTCAGGTGACCCGTTTCCCCCAAGTGGAATACAGGGTGCTGACCTCTCTTCCAACCCAGTGGGATTCTCTTAAAGGTGCGTTCTGCCATGTCTAAAATTTAGAGACTTCTGGGAGGAGGTGGTCCCTGGGGCCTTCCACCTTAATGCTGTTACTGCCATCTGATTGTCCTGGCATCTCCCCTGAAATGGATTGGGTGAAGGGATGAGGTTCCAGTGTAGGAGGGAAGGGTGCTTGAACACCTGGAGTGGACAAACTTGGGAAGGCAGGGCATATGATAGGGCTTTACCCAGTCCAGGAGACAACATGACAGGTGCTAGAACCTAGGTGGGTAGGGGACAGGGAGAGAGGCCCCTCGGGGTGGGGGGTTAGAATTAAAAAAAAAAAAAAAAGCTGTGTGAAGGTCCCCAACCCAGGGGCTGCTCTGACCTAAGGGCCAGGGCAATGATATCCCCAGCTTTTTGTTCTGAGGACCCAATTAGTACCTGCTGGGCAGCCCATCTAGAGGGGAACCCCTCATTGTGAGAAGTAGAGCACACGTCCATCTCTCACAGGGAGGGATGCGGATACAGGGGCAATGGAGTAGAAAGGGAGGAGGGGCCAGGGAGAGGCTGGGGGAGGCAAGTGTAGGAGATTCAAGCAGCAGGTCCTAGGAGCGCCCACACAGGTTATTACTGCCCTCTCCCAAGGCCTAGACCCATCTGGAATGGATGGAAAGAGAGGGGGCATGAGGCCCTGCAGCCCAGCCAGGCTCTCAGCCCAATGGAAGCCCACAGTTTGAGAGTCCAGCTTCTGTTCTCCAAGGGCCTGGCTCTTTTCTTCTCCCACCTCCCTTTTACGGTCACCCTTGAGGAGCATTGGTTCTATGCCTAGGCCTCCAGACTTGGGGTGCGTGGTAGCACACAGATAGGGAGACAGAGGCTCAGGCAATCATATCCCAGGATCTCCTAAAGTTCCATTATTCAAATAGCCCCCGATAAATTAGCTAATACATAGTAAGTACTTGCTGTTTGCCTGGCACTGTTCCAAAGCATTTTATCTATACTTTAATATTCTCAAACAATCCCCATGCAATGGCTCCTATTAGTATCCTCATTTTACAAATGAAGCAATGAGAGGTTGGGTAACTTGCCATTGGTCACGCAGCTTCTAAGGGAGCTATAGAGCCAGGACTCAAATGCAGCCTAGCTGACTTTAGAGATCGCCCTCAACCCCCTGCCATACTGCCTCCCCAAGCTACCAGGCCACCAGGGTCTCCCACGGTGTGTCCAGAAGTGAGTGGTACAACGGAGGAGTAGTCCAAGAAATGAAACTGACAAGTATACACACACACACAAACACCTACCTCTGTTTGTGCAAACGTGTAGCCACATTCAGTGTTCCCCCTAAGTGTTCCCACATGCACAAAACTCTCTCTCTCTCAGCCCAGGCACAGGAGTGTGCACAGATTATTTGCATGGAGGGGATGGAGACCAGATCTCTCCCCTGCCTCACTCTTTGACTCAGATGGGCGGGGCTCAAGCTTCTCTGACCCCTCCTGGTTCCCACTGGCTCCTGAATCCCCTCTTCTCCATGCTACCCTGCCCTCCAAACCTCCTCCCCCAGCCCCATCCTGGCCACTGGCCTGGAGCAGCAGCTGACTCCACTTAGATGCTGGCAGTCCCTGTCCCAGATCAAAGGCAGGACGGCTAATTGTGCGTCTTAACAAGCCCCCCGCCCCATGCTCCAGGCAGCCCAGCTGGCCATGGCCCCACCCCTCTCCCCCTCCAGCTGGTCAGATGGCACAGCGCCGCGTCTGCCCCAGACAGTCGGGGCCAGGACCGAAACTGGGGCCCTGAGTGGGAGCTGGGGGCAGACCCAGGAGGCTGGACTTCTCTGAATCCTGGATGCTAGGAGCAGAGGTTGGTCACACAAGCCCTGCCTGGCCACCCCCACACGTGGCTGTGACAGTGGCCAGAGGCCCTGGCATGGTGTCTTTAGCTGCCTGGGGTAGGTAGGGGTGTTCTCTGTAGATTGTGAACTACATTTTTCCAGACTTCTCTGGGCCTGCCTCTGAATGTAACAGAGCCTGGAAGATGGTGATTGGCCCAGCACATCCCCCTGGACCAGGCTCTTGCTCTTTCTTGGTGAAATGCGTAGATAGAGCCTTAGGAACTGGGACCTGAATGGCCTGGGTTTCTTACTCAGGAACATGTCTTCCCTAGAGCCAAATGTCCTTTAGCAGGAAGTTACCAGGCCTCGGAACTGAGAGAGCTGGTTCTGGGTCTGCTGCATAACCCTGTGACCTTGGGCATCTCCCTTTTCCACTGTGTGTGTGTGTGTGTGTGTGTTGGGGGAGATGATTTCTGAAGCCTGGGCTGCTTCTGAAGGTCTGAGTATTGCCATTTGTCCTAGCAGTGGGCTGATGAGCCCCCTAGCAATAGGGGAAGTGCTGAGAGTTCCACAGCTAAAAGGCAGGGGATAAACACAGGGTACGTTCCCTAGGGACTTGGGTCTCCCCTCCTTTCCCTTGGGCCCCACTCCCATGTCAGCATCTACTCCTCTGCAACTCCCACCAATTCCCAACAGCCCCTTAAAAGGCTCCCACCCAATCCTCATCCCCTCCTGTCTGCTAATAGCTGGGCTCCTTACAGAAAAGGTCCTGAGATGCCACAAGCCGGAGAGAGAAGATAGAGAGGGATGGCCTGCTTCTCGGGCTTCTGGTGGCCCATGTGATTTATCCTAAAGTGGGTCATGAGCTGCTGGGCTCTGTCCATGATTGGGGGAAACAAGAACCAATGGCCTGAAACTGCAACTCTAGTGAGTGGAATGAGACAACATGAAGAACTTCACAAAAATAGCTAATGTTTGTGCAGTACTTACCATGAGTAAGGCACTCTTCTAAGTATTTGAAATTTACTAACTAATTCCATTTTTGGGACAACAGTGAAAGCAGATAATAACAATCTTGTTTTACAGATGAGAAAACTGAGGCACAGAGGTCAAGTCACTTGGCCAAGTTCATGTCGCTATTAACAGTTAGTAAGTGGAAGAGCTAAGATTTGAACCCAGACAATTTGGCTCCAGAGTTCATGCTTTTAACTACTGCACACTTTGTCTTTTATTTGGGGGGGGGTGGCTAGGTAAGGACAGGAGGACAGGACCCTGTGATGCTGAGGGTGAGCATGGGGGGTGCAGGATTGGGGTCCAGTCCTGGTTGGCTCTCTGAGGTCTGTGGGAACTCCCAGAGCACATCCTCCCAGTCTTTGATGCTAGGATGGAAGGACCCAGAGTTTTTTCCTCTGAATCTCTGGTCTCCTGCAAGCCTTCAGTCTCTTGCCAGGGTCTGGGCTTCCCCCAACAGGTGCCTATGGCACAGGTGAGGTCTCCTCTTCATGTGCAGGCTATGATTGCTCCTGGCTTCTTCTCCCACTGCCCACACTCTCTCGGTTTCAGAGGCTGGTCAGAGACTTGTACCAGAAAATGCTGCTGGCTGGTTCCTTGTCAGATGCAGAATAAGCCAGAAGCCACTTGTGGGTCCAGGAGCCAGAGCTTCCTCTGCAAGCAGACCTCCCCCTGCCAGGGAGGCCCAGACCTACCAGGGCCTTCCCAAAGGATGGCTCACGAATGCTTTATTTTTTTAGGTTAAATTTTGCCTTCTTTCTGCAGACTTATTTTTAAATTGCAAACATCTCATGAGAGGTAATAGATTAAGTCCCTGATCTTCAAAAGAATGTTTATCAGATACTTTCTGTCCAACAGGAGAGAGGTAGACACGAATTCTGAGCTTGCTAAGGGTGATGTAACCCTCCCTCCCCCACTCCACCCTGCACCCTGAACTTGTGGGGGTGATTTCTGCCCCTCTTTGAGTCTGTGTCCTTATACCAGAACTTCCCCCAACACTGGGCCTCGGTTTCTCCCTCTTGTGGTAAGAAGGGTGGGCAGGGAGGGCAGATGGATGAGACGTTGACGCCCCCCAGAGCCTGTGTCCTGGATCTCCACCCTCAGGTTTTCGAGAGAGCGCTTTCGCCTACGCCATCGCCGCCGCCGGGGTTGTGCACGCGGTGTCCAATGCTTGCGCCCTGGGCAAACTGAGGGCGTGCGGTTGCGACGCCTCCCGGCGCGGGGACGAGGAGGCCTTCCGCAGGAAGCTGCACCGCCTGCAGCTGGACGCGCTGCAGCGCGGTAAGGGCCTGAGCCACGGGGTCCCGGAACACCCAGCCCTGCCCCCTGCCAGCCCGGGCCTGCAGGACTCCTGGGAGTGGGGCGGCTGTAGCCCCGACGTGGGCTTCGGGGAACGCTTCTCTAAGGACTTTCTGGACTCCCGGGAGCCTCACAGAGACATCCACGCGCGCATGAGGCTCCACAACAACCGAGTTGGGAGGCAGGTGAGAGCCCCACCCACCTGGGCCTGCTCCAAGTCCCTCTGCCTAGGGCTCCTCCCCTCCCCCACCAGGCCTACCTCTCCTCTGGGGACCTCACCACTAGCCCTAGCTCAGCAACTTTCTCATTGCCCCTGCCTAATCCAGTCACCAAACATGCATTGGATACCTACTGTGTGCCAGGCACTGGACTAGGCTGAGAATGCAGGGATGAAACCCCGGGGACCCTGCCCTGGATCAACTCCCCCTCTGCTGAGCAGCCTGCTCCTCTCATTATTTTGTGATGAGCAGTGGAGGGGGCACTGGGCTGCAGTCAGGGCCTCCTGGGCCTTGGCCCTGCTCTGCCACTCTGTCGCCCCCCCTATAAAGCAAGAAAGTTGAACTGGATCACCCAATCCCCGAGTCCCCCCGCCCCAGCCCAGCTCTAATGTTCCATTATTCTGTGCTGTCCTATGCTGTGATCCTCTACCTCCTCTCCCAGCCTTTTTGTGCAGAATGAGGGGTTCCTGCAAGGGGAGTTTCCTGGGGGGGGCCACCGTGGCCCTGTGTGGTGGTTGCATGGTTGCCTTTCTCCTTTTTCTCCCTATCTTTGAATGTTCATACTACCTCAAAGGTCATTCATAAAAAAAAAAAAAGAAGAAGAAGAAGAAGAAAAAGAAAGGAAGGAAGGAAAGAAAAGGAATAATCAATAATCGCCTGCATTTATGGAGTCCTTCCTATGTGTTAGGCACTGCCTGGAGCACCTTAGTGCAGAGTGGCCTATTTAATCCTTACAACTAGCTATGAGGGTCCTAGTATTAGCCTCATGTTCAGATACGGAAACTGAGGTACAGGGAGATGGAGAAGCTTGCCCAAGGTGGTGCAACCGGTGAGGAAGTGGTAGAGTCTTCCTCAGGGTTCATCACCAGGCAGCTGAGCACTGAGCCTGGGCTCTTTTGCTCTGCGGCCTTGTCTGCACTATGTGACTGCCACCACTAAGAGGCCTCCTTAGCCCTCGTGGTAGCTCCGCACCCTCCTTTCCTGGCTGTTCAGCCCCCATCCCTTCTCTCGGCTCTGCCTGGCCTGCCTTCAGTCCTTGTTTCTGCCTTCCTCTCGCTCTGGCTGGCACCTGCTCTTCCTCATTCCCCTTGCTCCTGGCCTCTCAACCCAGGCGGTTCACCTTCTCTTTCCAGAGGGACTAGGAGCTGATTCAGCTCTTCCCATCCTGACTTAGAGGTGAAGTAAACTGAGGCATATCCACCCTCAGGTCACATCCAGCTTCCACCCAGCCCTGCCCTGTTCATGCAGCTCTTTTCCCAAGCTTCCATACTATCCCAGCCCATACCAAACAGTGCCTCCTCCTCCTTGTTAAACTGGTTAATTAATGGCTGCTGCCTGTGGGAAGAAAATGTTCTGGAGCTGTTGGCCAGGGGAGGCCTTGGGCTGGTTCCTCTGTGGTGCCAACACCACAGGCTGCACCTACAAGCTGAGGAGCCCTTTAAGACTCAGAGGGCAGGGTCTCTCTCCTGTGGCCCTAACCGCCCAGGTTAGAGGGCCGCAGATCACTGCTCTCCCAGTCTGCGGTGTGTTCTGGAATGGAGTTGGGGAAAGGAAGATGTGGCCAACTGCTTCTGGTTTCTCTAGTGAGGATAATGTCAAGGGATTCTTTGGGAGGAGATTCTAGAGCAGGGTGAGAGCTGGGCAGGGGGTGGGTAGGTTGTGTTCCTGTAACTACCTCCCTTGGAGGTTTGGGGACTTCTCACTTTCACTGGGCAGGGGGTCTGGTTCTCTGGGACTGTTCCCATTCCATATTCAGGTAGAGCCTTTGGCCCCTGTTGGTGCTCACCATTCCCTAGGAGGAACCGTGGCATTCGGCATTGGGCAGAATAAGCCCCAGCCAGTATAATGGGGGAAAGAGGAGTCTCCCCAGTTTCTGTCCCCTCCTTAGGCTCCCTGCAGAGGGCTGCAGGGCCCAGAGGAGGAAAGGGGCTTTCTCAGACTCCCCGCAGCCCCCACTCACGCCTGGATTGAGGCCAGAGGCTTTGGGGAGGGGATATAGTGGGGCCAGCACCCCCTGCTCCTGGCCCCCACCTGAGGGATGGAAGGAGAGGGAATTTCCCTGAGGATCTGGGATCCCCCCTCAGGAAGCAAGAGCCTCCAGCCCCAAGGGCCCCCTGCAGCTGCTGGGAAAGGAGAGGAGGGGAGGAAAGGAGGGAATTCCCCCAGGACCTGGCCTGGTGGGAGGTGGATGGGAGAGCAGCAGAAGAGCGGGCGGAGTTCTTCTCCGGACTGCCAGGCTCAGGAGCTGTGCGCCCCCAACCCTACTCTCGGCCCCCACCCCCGTCCTCTTGCCTCTCCCC